ATCCTTCTTTATGCTGTATGTTCCTTTATAAGTTGCATTATCTGTTATCATCTCTTTTTTAAACTGTTTTTTTTTTAACCTTCGGACATTATCTAATATTTAAGCTTGCACCTTCCTTCTTCTCTGTGCCTGTTAGTCATCTTACTAATAGTTATGTATTTTTTGTCCTTTTGTTTCAAGTAGAGTAACCCTCTTTAGTATTTTTGTAATACAGGCCTTGTCCTATAAAATTACCTCAGCTTTTGTATAAAGTCTTTGTTTCTCCTTCGTGTCTAAAGTAGAACTTTGTTGGATATAATATTCTTGGCTGGTAGTTTCTTTCAATAGTTTGAATATTTGGTTCCACTCCTTCCTTGCTTGTAAGCTTTGTGCTGAGAAGTTCAATGATAGTCTAATGGGTTTTTATTTATTAGTTACTCTCTTTTCCATGGCTGCTTTGAGAATTCTTTGTCATTAATTTTTGACAGTTTTAATTTAATGTGTCTTGAGGAAGGCCTTTTTTGGCTGAGATAATTAGATGTTCTCTGTGGTTCTTGAATTTAAAGATCCAGTTCTTTCCATGGGTTTGGGAAAGTCTTGTCAGCTTTGTTTGAATATGCTGTTTCTTTCTTCTCTTGTCCTTCCAATGTACCCATTCGTCTTATTTTGCTTTTTAAGATGGTGTCAGATAGTTCTTAGAGAGTTCTTTCATTATTTTTCAAATCTGTCTTCTTTCAGACATTAACAGGTTCTGCCTTCAGTATCACTAATTCTTTCCTCCATCTGGTCAGCTCTTTTTCCTAAGCCTGTTGTTTCATTCTTTACCTATTTTAATGTGTTCTTCATCTCCAGATCTATTTGATTGTTTTTCATGGTTTCGATCTCTTTGGTAAAGTATTCTTTCTGTTCCTTTATTAATATTGTAAGAAGTGCACCCCTGAATTTGCTGTCATTTAAATTACATATTTCTTCATCTTTAAGCTTATTTTCTGGAGATTTTTCACTTCTTTCTGAGCTTGTCACCCTTGTTGTTGTTGGTGTTTGATGAACTCTATGTCTTTCCTGCAGAATAATGGAAGTTTATTCTGCTTTTATTCCAGAAAGAAGATTTTTTTGGTTTGTTTTTTAAGAAAATTTATTATATAGTGATCTCTCTTTAGGAGGTTAAGAAGGGATTTTTCTTTTGATTTCTAGTAGGTAGTGTCCCATCTACTTGGATCTCTGCTTTGAAGCTAAAAATCCCCTTCCCTGTGGTGGGCTGTGTGCCTCCTTGAGATCAGGTTCCTTGGTCTTAGGGTTCCACCTTGTAAGGGGCTTTGGGCAGTGGAGATCTGAGTCTCTGTAGAGGTCCTGAAATCCTGTTACTGCCAGAACAGTCAAATGCTATATTCTGCTGCTTCCTTCTGACTTAGCCTGACTGGGTGTGGTGAAGTTGATTGAGAAAGATCGGTGGTGTGTGTTGCTATTTCCTTTTCTTTAGTTCCGTCCCCTACGTTTCATCTACCTTGCTTCCATATCACTATGCTGTATCTGGTACCTGCTGTGTGTTTTAGTACTGATGGTGCAGATTCTCATTGGGCTCAGTGGTGTTAGCTCGGAGAGGATATGGGGTGGGGGAGGGCACACTCTGGATTGGTAGCCAGGCTTCAATAACTCACTCCCATTTGGCAGTAGTGGTTGCTAAGCCACAGGTGCTGGTCCTCTACATGCAGTCTCTACTCTGCTCTCTGTCCTGATCCCTGGGTTCTGCTGCTTGGAACATGCTGATGACTCAGGCAACACTGTTCCAGACTTCAGAGGTCCAAAACCCAGCTGTGAAGTGTCCCCTTGCCATCCTTCAAGAAGCTCCAGTTGTGAATCCCAGCTCTTTTGTTTCACAGTCCTAATCTGCCTCCAGTCTGCTGTGTATTTGACCACCTGTGAGATCCCTAATGCTGCCATGCTTCTGATTTCACTCCCAGGTGTCTTTATTTAACTTTATAAACTTAAGCATTATCCTTATTGATTAGTAATTTCCCATTACCACCTCTTGTGGAGGTCCTGGCAACCACGTTTGCATCTATGACTTTCACTATTTCAGATAACTTTATATAACTAATGATGCAGTGTTTATCTACTTGTGACTGGTTTATTTCACTTAGTATAATATCTTTATGTAAATAAAGCCATAAATTACAAAATACTTAGGAATAAACTAAGGCAGTAAAAGATTTATGTACTAAGAAGCACAAACCATTGGTGAAGAAAGACATGAACAAATGGAAAATACTTGTGTTTTCTGTTGGAAGACAATATTAAACTGTTTGTACTTTCCCAAAGTGGTCCATGGATATCATGCAATTTCTTTCAACCTCACTGGCATATTTTTCTTCAGATACCAAAAAAAAAAAAAAACCCAAAACAATTTTACAATTCAAATGGAACTATAAATGAGCATAAATAGCCAAATTAATCTTGAGAAAGAAGAAAAAAGCTAGGGATGTCATGTTGTTGACTTTAAAATAATGCAAAGTTGCAGTAAGAAAAGCAATATGGTTTTATTACTAGCATATAAATAGACTTACAGACAGGTGGAACAGAATGGAGAGCCAGAAGTAAATTGAAGTAAATGCGGTCAGCTGACATTTTACAAGGTTTTTAAGAATATACAATGCGGAGGTGATAGTGTATTCAGCAAATGGTGTTGATAGGAAAGCTGAATATCATATGTAGAAGAATAAAATCAAAACCCTTTCTTATAAACAGAAATTAATTCAAAAAGAATTAAAAGACTTGAGTCTGTATAACTCCTAGAAGAAACTTGAGGGAAAAGCTTCATGACGTTGGTCTTGGCTCTTCAGCAGAAGAAACAATCAACAGTGATAAGGCATCTTCCAGAATGAGAAAAGATATTTGCAAACCATTTATTTAATAACAGATTTGTAAATATAAAACCTTATAAATAAATATATAAGGAATTTTTATATCTCAATAGCAAAAATAAAATACTAATAACCTGATTTTTGAATGGGCTAAGGATTTTAATATAAATTTCTCTAAAGAAGATATAATAAATGACCAACAAGTTTACGAAACAGTGCTCAGTGTTAGTAATAATCATCAAGGAAATGCAAATCAAAAGCACAATGACATATCATTGTAAAGCCACTAGGATGGCTATTGTCAAAAAACAAAAGACTGTATTTAAGCAAGAATATGGAGAAATTGTAATGTGTATACTATCTATGAGAATGGACAGCAATGTGAAGATTATTCAAAAAAAAAAAATAGAACTATCATGTGATCTAGTAACCCCACTTCTCAGTATTTATCCAAAAGAATAGAAATCAAGACCTCAAAGAGGTATATGTACTTCTGTTTATTGCAGCACTGTTCGTAGTAACCAAGATATGGAAACAGCCATTAACAGGTGAATGAATGTAGAAACTGTGTTTTTTTCAAGTCTGAAACAGCGTTGATAAACTTATTATAAGCATTTCTTTTCTTTTTAATGCTGTTATAAGTGGAATTGTTTTTCTCTTAGAATTTTTTACTAGTTCATAGAAAATAAAATAGACTTTTCACTTAATTTTATATGTCACAGCTGTACCAAATTTGTTGTTTTGCTGTATTTGTATGTTTGCTTGGGTAGATATTTATCTTCATTTACATTGGCATTTTTGTGACTGAGGAATTGGTGTCTGTTTAAATTGTGGCATGCTTGTGTATCTGTACGTTTGAAAGAGATAAAAACAGCATTTTTTTCCCCCCGTCACATTTGATTAGAGTAAAACTCAATTTTTTGCACCAATTAATACATTTATCTGAATTAAGTATATTGCTCTGGTCCTTTATTACAAGTGTTTTTGAAATGACATTTTCCTTCTTTATTATTATACTTAAAAAACTGTGTAAAGATTTTGTTTTTTCTTGACATTTTAAAGATAATATATTTGAGGGTTCTCTTGTTAGTTTTTCCTGATGTTTTTGAGGAGTTAAACATATTACAGTAACAATAATGTGTTTTAGTCTTCTCAGTACTTTTTCAGGGAGAACTGTGGACAGTGGACTCATTTAGAAATTTGCCTGTATCTTAAATATTATGAACATTGTTAGATCATAGTATGGAAAATGTTATGTCTCTAAAAAACATACTTAATTATAAGTATTTTCCAAAAATATTTCCTAGAACAGAAATGGTGTGCAGTTAACCCTTGAACAACATGGTTTTGAAATATGCTTGTCCTCTCATGCATGGATTTTTTAAAAAATAAATGTGTATAGCTCTAAATGTATTTTTTCTTATGAGTTTCTTAGTAATATTTTCTTTTCTAGCTTCCTTTATTGTATAAGAATACACAGATAGAATACATATAACATACAAAATATGTGTTAATTAACTGTTTATGTAATCAGTAAGCCTTTGGATGAACAATAGGTTATTAGTAGTTAAGTTCTGAGGGAATCTGAGGTTATACATGGATTTCGACATATGGGGGTCAACACCTCTAACCCCCACATAAAATTAAGATGTTAACTGTTTCTCTTTTTGTCTTAGACTTGGATAGTAGCACTTACTCTTTTTGCTTAATAGGTTATCCATATCTTTAAAAGTCTTTCTAGGCTAATTATACATCCAATAATTGAATATTTCTACTTCTTTGTGAAAGTTAAGTAACACGATGTTGAAATTATTTTCCTTGTAACTTTTTAGGATATAGCAGGTTTTAAAAATGTCACTTTGTTGACACCTGTTATACTGAAGGGTACTATTATTAGCTGTTCATTTTTCTGAAACATGGCTGTCAAAAGTTAAATAAATATCTAGTTACTAATATGGCACTTTTTATTTTTAGTTACTTTTTTAATAATAGAAATTTAAAAATATTATCTAAACCTTTATACACTAGCCAGCTTATAACCCTTAGTGTTTATTTTTTACTTAAAAAGTTATTTAAATATGTCATCAGTTCCTTCTTGAAATATTTCTATTTAAAGATTACTTTTTAACTTTTCTATGACTATTTTCTCCTACTCTTTAGCGGAAATATCATTCTGCAAAAGAAGCCTATGAACAGCTTTTACAGACAGAAAACCTACCTGCACAACTAAAAGCAACAATTTTACAACAGTTAGGTACATAAAAATTTTCTTTTTTATATTGCATTCATTTAAAAAATTTTGGCATATATGGGAGCATTTTAACTCTTCTGTTTTAAAAGTCAGTTTTATTTAGAATTTTGTATTTTATGATTATGACGTGTATTTTGAGATTGTATTGAAAACAAATACTTTATATTGTAAATGTTTCTATTATAATTGTATTCTTTTTCTTCTTTTATCTGGAGTTATACCCACTGTCTAGCATGGTCCATCTCATAATTCACCTAAATACAGCACTTCAATGCCACTAGTCATTTTAAATTCTCAATATTATAGCTGCGTATTTAACCTCTGAAGGTTTGAGTAGTTACTTGCATATACTTAGCACTCTATGAAGTTAATTGAATTAAAATAGTTTACAGCTAGTAAGTGGGTTTGAACTTTTCTTAGGTTTGTTCATAATATGAGTTAATGGAAACTTGTCACCTAAAACTGTAGAACATTTTGTTCTGTATTTTGTCTAGCAATTTATTATATTACTGTGTATTAAAGGAAAAAATCTGGTGTTCAAAAGTAATATGTCATTTTTACTTACATGATAGAAAGGATACTTGCCGGTAACTAATTTTACTTATTACCTGTCTTATCTGTGTTTGATATTTGGGTTGGTATTTACTTGATATTTTACTTGATCTTTACTTGATTATTTTAATCTATAACATAAAAAGCATAGTTTTGCTTAGATGATAATTTTGCAAAAGTAACTTTTATATACTTGAATTGACTCACAACCGAAACTCTGGTTTCTGTTTGACTTAAACGTTTAACATATTTTATTGTGATAGAATCTTTGATACATATAATCTTTTTATTGTCTCTATAGTTGTAATTCTAAACATTTTATGAATCAAACACTGTAGTGCTCTTAAAGGTCTTTGAAACAGTTTTTTTATTTAGATTTCACTATAACTGTGGAGGCTTTTTGTTTGTTGTTTGTATATTTGGTCGAATGTTGTTATATTGAGGATGTTCATGAAGATAACCAGTGCCAGTAAGGTATAAGGTCTTCTGTAAGATTTTTTTTTTTTAATTTAAATGTTTTCTTTTTGATTATATAAGCTTTAATTATTTTAATTTAGAAATAAACATTGGCTTGGTAGATTGTTTTCGAAATACCTTAACCTTTAAAGAGATAATAAACGGTCATCTTTATATTTTTTGGCTCATAAGTTAGATATTTTTTTCCCCTAGAGTGAATTTAGAAAAAGAGAATCTGTGTTTTTGAACCTACTAAGTGTCAATGCAGTACTCAAATCATTTGAAGTTCTTTAAGAACCTTTTGGTACCTTTGATTATATCTGTTTATGCGTAATAGACTTTCCCACAGCTATCTCTGCTGGGTTTAAATTTGGGGAAAGTGTGATCCTAGATAAATGCATAAATGTACTGAAAGGGCATTTTAATTTATTTGTGCCCCTTATGGTATTTTTAAAGCTATAAGAATCGTTGATTCATGGATAAATGCTTATAATTTTTAAATTGTAGGATGGATGCATCATAATGTGGACCTACTGGGAGACAAAGCTACCAAGGAAACATACGCAATTCAGTATCTCCAAAAGTCATTGGAAGCAGATCCTAATTCTGGCCAGTCTTGGTATTTCCTTGGGAGGTGAGACCAGACACCTGGGCTGAGCTGTCTAGAGTAGACTTAGAATGTAAAATGTTACATCATGTAATATATCCTGGTCAGTAACATTTTGTTTAAATACATTGTAGAAATATTCTTGAGAGGTAAAATTGAATCGTTCTAAATTTTGTGCTTTTACTAAGAAGTTATTTTGCTTATTAGTCATATTGTCTTCATGTGACTTGATTTATTACTGTTGACTTAGCTAGCTTTTAAAGAGTCTTGACAAGTTTTAAACTTACCATTTAGTAATCACTAATATTGTTTTTCATTTCGGTAATTGTGTTTCCTCTGTAATTACTATTATTTTTAATCTATTTATTTTTAGTAATTCATTTTTATTCTAGCTGATGACTATGAGTAGCCTAAGGAACAGTTCATTTAAACAGTATGAGGTCTCAGTTTTCATTTAATTTAATTCAGTTTACTATATTGCTTTAATTATAAATTTTGCCTCATTCTTTTTCATAGGAATAGTTTACTTTGTAGAAATTTGTCATGGAGTCTAATTGAAATTTATGTCCTGTGTTAATTTTAGGTTTTATGCAGTATGTCATTTTCTTTTAGAATTTATAAGATAGATTTATATTTGAGGGAGATTATTGCAATCATTCCTTTTTAAAAACAACTTATTTATTAATTGTGTATAATAAAATTTAACTGTGAAGTTAGCTAGTCTCAGTACAGTTTTTTTTTCTCGTCTTCTGTAAGGCTTCAAAAAAGAGTCTGATTTGAGTTGCTTGTAATACAGAAGCTGAGAGTCCAAATTTGGTCCTTCTCCATTAAAGGTCCTCATGGAGAAGCTAAATCTTTTCTGCCTTTACTGCCTAGTAATGTGCCTTGAGCAAACTGAATATTTAATACATGGAAAAAGTGAACTGGCTAAGTAGCATTTGGGTTTGGAACTAACATATTGTTAGCTTAGTACAGTGTATACCTTAACGTGGTAATGACAAGTTTAAAAGGACCAATTTAATAATGATGTACTTTTACACTTCTTTGAGAATAGCAGAATAGCAGTATTCCACAGAGGACATTATTACAGTTATATGAATTTTAAACATTTGCATATGTTTTATTTTCACCTTTTTAGATAAAATTTTTGTATGTGTAGAACACTTTCTTGACCTCAAACAGAAGATAACTTTTTTTTGAGTTCAGGATTATCATTTAAGACAGTGTTATTTTTAGTCTGTTAGATTTTTTCCTGTGTTTTTGATTCTCAAATTCTCATCTACTGCCTTACATGTTGCTTCTAATTGGCTTTGTTGTTAGAGAAAGTCAGGTCTGTCAGAAATTATATTTCAGAACTTAGTAGAGCTCTAAATGAGGATCTCATTGTCAGTAAAATTCATAGGGTTTGAAGTCCTTTGTGTTTCAGAGACTTATCCCTTGCTTTCAAGGCTGCGTTGCATATTGATATTGCTCATTAATTGAGATGTAATATATAAAGTGAGATGGGGATGTGGTAACAGTAACCTGGTAATGACTCCAGCGGTCCCCCACAGTCACAGAACTGTTCAAATTGGAAGTGATCAGGCAGCAATTTCTCATTTTACAGATGGGGGCAGTGCGTCCAGAGATGAAGAGTGGTTTCCTCAAGGCCATGTAGCTAATTAGTATCCCAGGAAATGCTAGAACCCAAGCTTACTCAGTGCTGCTATCTCACGAGCCTACCTCAGAGGAACCTGAATGAGTTGTGTTAGATGAAAAGGGTCTGGTTGTTGGACTCGGATATTACTACTTGGGCACATTTAATTTCTAGTTTGACTTTTTAAAATTTAAGTGCGAAAATGCTGGTTTCAGGAAATACTTTTTATCTCCTAGCATTGAAGCAAATTTGTCGAATAATCTGAAATATGGTTTTGTTAATAAAAATTTTATTTGTTATTCACTTCATTTCTGTTGTTTGTCCTTGTTTGCATTACTGCTCTCTCTCAAATTCTCCCTCTGACAGATTGTCCTCATTCTCTGATATTGCTTTCTCTCTTTTACAGGTATCTCTTGCATCACCCAATCTGTAGTGTAGCCATTCTTTTGGCTTACTTACTTTCTCTCTTGTGTGCATCCTGTACTCTTAACCCATTCCCCCATATGAGTGAATTCTAAATTAAAATTTCTAACTCCAAAGGCATCGAAACTTCAGTTTCAGTGTCCTTTTTATTGACTCTTGTAAAACCCCTTACCAGACATCTAAATCAGCAACCTTTTAAAAATTCACTCATCATGTTTTCTCAAAACAGCTATTTTTTATTATTTCTTTTGATATAAAAATTACTTTTTTGTATTGAACAGGTTTCAAAACAGTTATATCTCCTTAAATATCTAAGGAAATCATTGAGTTTTTATCAATCATTTAGTTTTTCTCTTTCATACCATTTTCCTTACTTCCACTATAATCCTGGCTGAAGTGTGTATATCAGCCTTGTAGTTTACCTGAAATTTATTTTCCTTCAGTCTCTAATTTTTCAGCTTACAAATTGTTTCTGTAAAGTGCTTTGTTCATGCCACTTGCCTTTTTAGAAAGATAAAAACCTCAGGTAGATCTACATTTGTAGACTGAATAATTTTTTCCTGTACTTTTTAAACCCTAATGAAGTGCCTTCTGTCATCTTTTCTGCTTTAATCTGTGATTCTCATCCATTCAGGTTGCATGAATTACCAACATTTCAATCAGTAATTGTAGTGCCCAATTAGAATGACTGTACAATTAAGATATTAAAACATTTTCTTGTTATTTTCTATAACTTAACATCATAGTTAAATAATATAGTTTCATGGATATAACAACTCCATCTCAAGAAAACAAATATTAAAAATAAAGAGAACTACTTAAGGCAAGTTATTTCTGCATTAGATTCAGTTTTCCCTTCCAATAGCTAACATATAAGACAATCTTTTTGTTCATTATATAATTTTCATATTTTTGTTATTTATGTTAACATTTGGTTATTGATGTTAAAGTCACCACATACTGGCCTTCCTCTTATACTTTCATGAATGCTTTTTAAAAAAAATAGTATTAAAATCTGTATTAACTTAGAAATTTTAAGTACATTTTACACAATTTTAATAGTTAATTGATATTAACTATATTTCAGTTTTATAGTTTTCCTGAATTAAGAAGTGTTCTGAGTGTTGTAAATTCAGAAATGAAATTTCAGATGTACTGCTGAAATCATTACTAATAGTTTCTCTTTATATTTTAGCTTTATATTTTTATCATGTAGAAAACCTGAGTACAAATGATATGTAAATAGGACTCTGTATTTTTAACCCTGAATATTATTGCATTGAACAATTGGACTATAATGATTTGAGTAAAGTTTATTAATTTTTTTTGTTAGCCCTCATAAGAAAAAATTCATTTAATAGCAAATTATAATGTAGACTATACCTAAATATACATGTAAACAATATGCACAAATATCTATATATTAGCTTGTTAGTGTTTTCCCTTTCCATATACATTATTTTGGCAAAAAAAAAAAAAATGTGTGTGTGTGTGTATACTTAATTTAAGTATTACTGAAATATTTATATTTTTATGTCTTTTTATATATGTATTTCTTCTTGTTCCCCCTTTGCAGGTGCTATTCAAGTATTGGGAAAGTTCAGGATGCCTTTATATCTTACAGGCAGTCTATTGATAAATCAGAAGCAAGTGCAGATACATGGTGTTCAATAGGGTAAGGCTTGAGTAAATGAGATTTAATGGTATTTTAATAGATACCCAAGTTTATTGAAACATACATAGTATAATATGTATTAATATTATACCTAGTCATTTTCAGACACCTCATTTTTTATTTCTCTTTTCAGTGTGCTCTATCAGCAGCAAAATCAGCCTATGGATGCTTTGCAGGCCTATATTTGTGCTGTACAATTGGACCATGGGCATGCAGCAGCCTGGGTGGACCTAGGCACTCTCTATGAATCCTGCAATCAAACTCAGGATGCCATTAAATGCTACTTAAATGCAACTAGAAGCAAAAATTGTAGTAATACCTCTATACTTGTAGGAAGAATTAAGTTTTTACAGGTAAAAATTTTAAGTAGTATATTTTACAAAACATTTCTGTATAACTGGCACAAGGAGGGTGGCTGAACAGTTTGTCATTTTGTTTTGATGTCAGTAACTTGTTTCCATAATTTTTAATATTTTGTGATATTATTTTCTTTTTCATTTTAATTAAGATAAACAATTTTTAAAATATTCTTTTGCATGTACATTTTGAGGTGCATTAATTTGCATGATTTTTC